TCGAAATATTTGTTCGTAAACATTCACATTGATGAACTTCACGCCAAGCCGTTTTGTAGAATTGTTTGGTTTTACTTCGATGGCGTAACAACTTACGTTCATAAATATTGACCATGTTTTGTATGCGGAAAATAGTGTTGTCACGTCTTATCGCTCGCCTGCTGTGAAAATGAATAGGAAAGCGTCGAACAACTAATATGATTCAAGAAAATTACTGTGTACACTGGGCAAGTTATTTGATGTTAGACCTGATTTAAAACTTTCATAGATAAACGGAAAAGACGGTATTATTAACAGATAAGCGTTCTTTATTCTTTTCTTTACGGAGGCAACAAGATGACTATCGATATAAACTGAAAACCTGACGAGCTGTTTCATCCAAAGTTACTGACACTGTAACTGAGGCTTTTACGAAATTAAGAACTAAAAAGGACTTCATATAACAGATTATAATTCACCCGCTTGACCCCCCTCCTTCGCAAAATGGCGTTTAATTTTCATTTCGGAAGTTTATCACTATAGTTAAATTAAAAGCAAAATCGTAGAAATTGAATTTACACCCGTGAAGAAGCCTATACTGTTATCAAGGGTTTGGCGATACAACACACGAATGCAGTTCGGCAAAATTTGAAACTGGCGTACAGTGTAAAGAAAGCTTCTTTAGCGGATCTAAAAAGTCGTTTCAAACTTTAATTGTTTCAGGAAAATACATTGTACATTATGTTGTTCAAACATAACTTTTTCGTCTTCTATACGCTGCTAACCGATTTACATTCGTTATCACTGACTCAAATGCGAGAATTAAAAATTAAAATAACGTTTCCACAGATAAACAATCAAAATTTTGTGGTCTCTGCGGGACAGCTTAAATTTTTAACAGAAATGAGCCGCGTAGGAACCAAAGATTTATTGCGAAATTACGCGAAAAAAGTTATCGGCTGGTAAAGCTGGTTATGACTCGTGTAACAAGAGAACCAAACGACGCCTAGATGGAAAATTGATTTAGGAAATAAACCACACCCGACAACATCAAATTTTAAAAAAAACTTGTTTCAGCCTTTTATCAAATGGTTTAGTATAAAATAATGAGCAAATGGAAGGCGCCTGATGGAGAGTGATTCTGATCAAGGTACGGATATTCAAAAATAGTTTTGTTATGACAAAGCTTGCTACTTGCTAAAGTGTGAGTTGTTAATGAAGCTGGATGGCCGCCACTGCTAAGTAAATGATATAATCTTCGACCTTAATGTTGCGAGGGTGATCTATGATCAGTTTGGCGATCAAAATGGGCCTTTTTCCCTCTTTTTGTTCCGGCGAAAAAGAGTTCGAGACATCTGTCTAGTGAGTTTCCTTACGTGCGTGCCGTTTAGTGTGCTAAGTACGTTTTGATTTAAGATTTAAAACGTTTCTTTTAAGTTTCCAAAATACTTCCGATGTACATAAATTTCCTATCTTGTCGAAGATGATATTATCACTGGCGCGTAGCACGCGGTCGTTTTAGAGATACTGTTGCCTTTTCAGACAGCTTTGATGTTCGGGTTAAACTCGCGATTAGTAGAATTGCCATTTAGTTCGTGGAACAAGAGAGAAATAAAGATGAAGATTGATCATTTGAATTTGTTTTCATAGAATGTTTACTTAATAATGATCTGACTGACCAGGATTCACTCCGTGAAATAACTGCGAAAACTACTTAGTTGTTTCACTAAAGGCAGGGTTTTATTCAGCCATTACACACTATCTGTCCTTACAAAGAACTGAGTTGTTCTTCAGTCACTTGTCCATCATGTGGGATAAAGGAAATCATTTTGCCTTGGCAAGTTGGTCGCTTCTCGACGGCTAATATACAAGTTGTAATTTCGCTTATTTTTGAAGCTTCCTTGTGCATTGATCACCCGGTTCCCTGAGGGCACATATCTTTCACTAAGTACCGCAAAGTGACCCTTGGCAATTAAGAATGTATTTAAATTTACTTTGCACCACGAACCATAATAAGCAATCACTGATTACCACAAACCTAAACAAAGGAAAAATAAAAATTGCTGATAACCGTTAAGATAGGAAACGAGAACCGCTGGAGCTGGCGGCTAATGAACAAGATCTTTGTAATTTACATTCCTGGCTGAGAATCGCCCACTGAGCTCCCTTCATGTTACTCGGTTTACACAAAAACAACCAGGCCGATCACTTAACGGTTTGCTGAGAAACAGAAAGCAAGTTGAATCTCCGGTGTCTCATCCATTGCACATGGACATTTTGTAGTATATACTCTCCGCATGTTGTCCTCCTAGGGAACCACACACAAGCCCCTGAAATGGGCAGACCTCAAACAAAACACTCATCGCATCTCCGGGGCTACGCTCTTGCCTGTGCCTCTTAGATAGCAAATAAATCAGAACAGGGTCGGCTTCCATGGCTCGGCCTAAACCCTTTTGCTTAAGTTTCTATAGAAGGCACCTGGTGATTGGAACTTTTCCCTAACCAGTGGCCTACATGGAGGGGCAAGAAACTTCACATGGGATAAGCTCTTTGAAGGCAATTTAATACTTTAATAATTGATCATATATTGTTCGCGGGCGATTTGTTTGCTATTAAGTCTATTTTTTGCAGCACGTGTATTCCGAAACAAAGTGTTGGTGGCCTATCTGACGCGTGCCTGCCTGAAAAGACTTAATAAACTTATCTCGCTTTCTTCATTGTGGAGCTCGGCGAGTGAACTGCTTAATTTGCAACCGGGGCTGCTTAGTTGAAAGGCGTATAACTCCTCACTCATTAAATTTCAAACAACAACAAATCTCGGTAAATTACACATTATTTCAGCTAGAGTGTTCGCTTGTATAAATTTTCTCCTTCCTTAGTTTACCCCGAAGATTTTAATTTGCTATTCTGGGGAATAGCTGCAAATTGGGTGTTTTCCGGTGATTATAGTATTAAAGTAAAAATTAAAAAATGAAATCCCCCGCTCTTGGTGTTTGAGGCATTCAAACGGAAAGGAAATAAGGCATGTTTTTGGTTACGTGTTGCTCTTAGACTACTATTATCTATTATCTAACCATGAACTGCCGAGTGAGTAATTTCCTTCAGCCAAGTTTCTATACAACACTGTCACAATAACCCTTTTTCCACCGGGGAATTAAAATTAACCTCGGCGTCAATTGGCGCATGGAGCCAACGAAAGCGCTTTCTTTAGCTTGAGTAAACATTGGACCAAGCACGAAACAAAACTTCAAAAAAACTGGCCACCATTTATTGATCTTCGGAATAAAGTCTGGCTGTTTTTCACCCCTTAAGTTATTTTCTGTCTCATTTACTTTAATTCATTATTAATGAGGCTCGCGTATTTACTCTCAGTAATGAAAGAAACGAAAGTTATACCATTTAAGAGATAGTTTAAATAAAAGAGTAGTTATTGTAAAGGGTGAAATGTACCGTATTTTTAGTTTTAGAAGTCCATTACCAAAGCTAGCGCTGTGATTGCACGAAAAATAATGAGTTTTTAGAAGTAATGAACCTTCTCCTATTCTGATGCAAATTTAATTTCCTTCACCTCTATTTAAGTGTCGAAAAATTTCCGCACCATTTTATCCACTTTTTAAAACCAAGTACAATGATAAAATGTTTTCTTTAATTCAATTTGCGATATCATTTGAAAGGAATCGAGAACCTTCTTAAAAGTTTCTAAACAAAGTGAAGAAAGCAGAAGTAATTTCCGCGTTTAAAATAAAACGGTCCACACCCTGGCACAGTAACACGAAGACTAAACGGTTTGCATATTAAGCAAGCGCTCCGGTGTTCCACCGTCAGTTTGTTTTCTTTAGCTTCATCTCAGTGTGCAGCAATCTAGCTGATCATGTCCAGATTAAAACACGACCTTCTAATTATAAAAGAAAGGTTGCGAGTTCGAGCAAATATGTTTAAGCACCTTTGTTCTTGACACGCGCCTGCCACGCGCCTATCAGCAGGTGCCGAGGGAATGCCCCGCCTATGCAAAAAAACCTAGATTTGAGCCTAGATTTGTTCGTTTCCTACTCTGTGGATGAGACGCGGGCCAGTTGTGTATTTTACTTTTGAGATTAACAAACGTGGAGCTGCACGCACGAGGTTATATCTTACAGAGCACATCAACAGTTAACTAGATAACAGACTAATGCGAAACCAAATTCGAAACCTGAAAAATAACACATATTTGTTTTTTATTACCATTTACTGCATGCTCTCTTAATAAAGAGTTGGTGGTCTTAATAAGGCTCGTTCCTATTGGAAAATGTTAGAATACTACTAATTAAATAAACCTATCTAATCACTGGTGATTGATTTGGGCGCTAACTTCTTTGTGTTCATTAATTCGTAATTGGGACCGAGCGTGTTTACATCTTTCTATTTCTGCAATGTTAATTCGAAGGATCTTTATCTAAAGGAGTAAATTTAGGAAAATCTGCCTTCGGGTCGCGGCATGAGCTAAATCAATGAAAAAATGATAATATTCCTAAAGCGACATGCAAAAAACAATTGATTTTTTTTACAGCAGAACCGTTTTACAATTCCTCAGCATTAATATATCAGAACAGTAGGTTGGGTGTTTAAAATTAAGTATTGAGGAGAAATTGCGTTTGGAGAAGCAAGTTGCGTGGTTTAAGTGACCGTAAACCTCGAGCGAAACGAGGCAACAAATCAAGTCAAATTTGATACAAGCGCAAAGTATGCACCTGTATCATTGATTTATTATTTGAAACTAAATTTCCTTCTTCTTCCATCGCTAGATTTGACCATCCGGATGTCGGTTAAAGGAAAAAAAAAATGTAGATTTAATCTCTGCTAATTCTGCACTTTGCTACAAATCTCGTTGTCGCGGCGCCTATTAATCGAAATAGCTCGTTCCTATTTCCTCGTGCGACAAAACGTTTTCCTTCAATTCTGAGTCAGAAAAAAAAAAATACATTAAGCCTCATAGGAAATGCAAGGTTTCGGTTATTTTTTTTTTCTTTCGCGAAACCCTGTTGATCAGTTGCTCAAGTCTCCGTAAGGGGTAACATCAGGCGCATGCTTGATAGCTACCTTAGGCAGGTGCTCCTAGCACTGGCAGCTCATTATAAGCGAGTAGCACAGCGCTCAATGAGGTGTGAAGGGCATGATGAAAAATATTTGATTTATTACAAAGACTTATTTAGTTTTCCTTAGCCATTGTTCACATCTTGATCATTGTCAACGGCAAACATAGGCCAACATATAAAGCGCTGACGTTTTATTAAAATCTCATAAACCGAAAGTAAGTGAATACGTAAAGATTGAAAATCGCCACGATTGACCGACCCAGCGGTGTGGATCCGTGCCGAAATGTCCGTTTGGGTAGCGCCGTCACTCATAGAGAAACCAACCGGTCCCCTGAACATAAGTCAGGAGGTTTTAAGAAGCGTTTTGTACGGCAAGTGGTGTAACGTATTTGGTGGCCAAAAAGAACTCACTTTTAAATCAGGCGGTCTGGAGAAAGTGGACTACAACTCCGATGAAGGTAAATCTCAAAGTTCCCATTATTACTATGAATAATATTCAGTTTCAAAAACGAAATATGTAGTGGGGAAACCCGGAGTGATTTAAACTCCGTTGCGTGCTTTGACACTCGTAGAGTTTCGAGCAATGCGAAATTATGTAATTACTCGTCTTTAAGCGGTGTGTTTAGTTACTGGAAGTTTACATCGCTATGTCATTTTCTCTAGTTTTGCGCGTAGAAAAACGGTCAAGGGGTTGTAAATTGATTCATGTTACGTATTCTTTTGGAATTTAACTAAGGAATGCCATTAAATTTTAACGACTTAGGGAAGTTTATAATCTCTGGTTTATTTTAATGAGAAGAACTTGGGTTTATTAAACACACATCATTTTCCCCTCTCGTTTTACGTACAGAATTTCCAAAGTAACACGCTTCGCTAGCTAGTTTTTTGTCTTATAGTCTTAGAAGTGAGACATTCAAGGTCAATGAAAGCGCTGTGCCGCAAATTGCAAAATCGCGTGAGATTACTCTGGCCCTCGGTTTTTTGCGTAGCTTTAGAAAACATCGCTCCAGGCTGCACCGAAAAGAAAATTAAACAGCGATTGCTCTGATTTCTTTTCTGGTTTTGTCATGAAATTTGTGTACTTGCTTTCAAGGTCATTTGACAACATCTGTGATGGTGTGTGAGTCAGAGTAGTGTGATAAAGCCCCTGCGCGCCTGTTCTTATCCTTTGCTTCGTCTTTTACTCAATGTTTTCGAAACGCCTTGTACAGTTTCCGGCTGTCTGGTGAAACGGTCATTAGTGTGTGATCTACCAGCAAACAACATTTCAAAAATGGAGGCAAAAGCGCTTCCTTATTTCAATTGTAATTTCGGAACGATAATAAGGTTTAAATACCCAATTTGCTCTAGGCAGGTGGATTCACTCTGAATGAATATGCATGCGAACCTCCGAAATTTAACTAAAAGCACTTAATTCCACCCAGTTTTGTAAACGTGCAGTATTTCGTGGACTTTTAAGCTCTTTGAGCAAAGTTCATGTCTTATCAATTATTGTTTTCTCGATCGCATCGAGGTCAGATATTACTTCTTGCTTGCGATGTGATTCCAGCGCCATCGAAAACTATGTACCAGCATTGAAAATCTCGAGTGTCGGCGTGACAGAAAATATAAAAGAATATAGTCAAGCAAAAGAAATATGTTTAATCTGGTCTAATTTCGAATTTGCTTTTCGAGAGAAATTAGCATGTTTGGACATTTTTTATCATGTAATTAATGTCCACTAGTTGGCATTAAACAAAGATTAGCATATCAAAGAACAGTAACATGATGGAGTAACAATGAACCTAAAACAGTCAAACTCAAAGCAAAATCAATGAATACAGACAAGCGCGTCTTCTAAAACAACTTGGAAAGCCTTGCCCACGTGACAATCCGTCTCGCCCACATCAAACATCACAGCTTCTTGGCAAATTACAAAAAAATAAAAATAAAAAATAACAAGCATTGAAAGAAAGTCGGTGGACCTGCTTGTTTTCATAAAACAAGCTTCCGTGCTCTGTTAATTCAAATACGTGTGCCGTATTGTTCCACACTCTTTACTTTCACATTGTTTATGAAATTTTACCAATACCCAAATAAAAACCTATTATGAGAGAAGTGTCCAGTAATGAAAATTCGCGAACCATATCCTTCCTAGTCATATCTTAACTTCCGCAATCATCTCCAAATTTACTTCTTTGGTTTGTGTTCCATACTGTGTGCTCCATCAAAGGCGATTGTTTGTACCCGATAAGCCCCGTAGCATAACAATTCGTTAGAGATTAATGCGTCGCGTAAACCATCCTTTTTTACCTGCTTATCACAGTGTATTTAGCACGTTCCTTGGGTTTACTTTAATTCAAGATCATAAAGATTAGCAGAAACCCTACAGCAGGTGTTAGAAGGTAGCCTCGCATGAATAAACCTCAACGCATCTAAATTCATTACTGACATAGGATAAAAGAAAATTCGTTTCGCCGTAATTTTAACACGTTATGCTTTCTTGTGTTTTTTCCGTTTCATTACTGTTTTAGCTAATTTTACAAACTACCATTTCGGATTTTTTCCTCAGCGGTGGAATAAAACGTTATAAATAATTGATTGTAAACGACTTCTGTTTGCTGCGATTGAAAACTATATTAGAGAATAGTATTTGGGTTTTCATCCGTTCGGGAAAAAAAGACGGTTTTCAACTTTTTTCTTTTGACGATTTTTGCAAGTTCTTTAACTTTGTAATAGTTCAAATCGTCTTTTCGTTGGCGCTTGGTTCGTCCGTTGTCTGACAACAGTTACTATTTCCCATATTTTACTCATTTAGAACGAAAACGAACTGTCTAGACTACAATTCAGTTATCTTAACTGCAAAAATCAGTTTTTACACAGTCGAGGAAAAGATGGCGCCGTTGTATTTTTTTGTATTTGACAAGAATCAAAACCACTATTCTCATCATCTTGTTTTTTTCTTTAATTTCAAGAACACGACGTTGGTTACATGAGCAACATAAAACGCGTCGGATCGACAGCTTTAGTCCCGGTTCTAAGCAACGACACTGCGAAAACCAAGCAACTCTGCCTAGAGAATGACTCTTTCTTCATGGCATTTGTCTCTCTTCCGGAGCAAGTTACTATAGCGCCTTCATCAATTCCGGGTGTTCAACTTGGCGTGTTTAGTACCTGCTGGATCAAAGAAGGCACGCAGATGGGGCCGTATACAGGGCGCATTGTTAAAGTTGAAGAGCTGAGCTCTGATGTTGATAACAGTCTCATGTGGGAGGTGAGTAGCTATTCGACGTTGGCAAATAACGTTATGATGCTCGAGTGTTATCGTCGTTAATAATGCGTTGTGATGCGGGTTCAACGTTATCGTGTTTTAAATCGGAAAGCGCTGTGTGAAATTCAACCTTAGCACTACAGGCAGTTGACGATGGAATCAGTTAAGAAATAACTGTATTTGTATTTTAATTATTGTTTTTCTTTGACCAGGAGCTTCACCATTATTTTTCTGGCGAAACACTGTTCTAAAAAAATATATGCTAATTCTATTTCTGATTTTGCTTCACTGATCATTTTAGATTAACGTGTTTTCACATAATGTAAGATCTTTGATTTCGCGTTCGTTTATTGACCACTGAGGTAAAAAAAGACATGTGTTTTAAATCTAATGCCCATTTTACAAAGAAAATCACAACGTGATTGAAACCGATGTTGCACGATAGCCTCGGGTTCAAAATTATATTCTCCATTTCTATTTCCATTTAGCAGAGTAATAGCACTAAAAACAAAACAAAAATGTAAGAAAAGGAAAAACCCTGTTTGTTGTCTCCAGCGACTGAGAAAACCTTGGCCTCTAAAAGGATCTTTTACACAAGAATTTCAAATTCCAAATAAACGAGGTTAAACTAAAAAACCGATAAATTCTGAAATTTTATTTGGTAATCTATCTGTGATTTAGCCTTTGTTTGTACAGTACACAAGACAGTCGAGAGCCTCTTTGACTTAGAACACACTAAGGTCTTTGTATATATAAATTCCCAAAGCTAACTCTCCCACGCATATACAGAAGCCAATTCCGACGTTATGAAAAGGAAAATGAAGCAGTTTTCTTTATGAATTCTGCCGAGAGAGTCATTTTAACAACGTATTGAACATTATCGACAGAACATAGGGACTGAAGTCTGTTTCTTCGTTGTTCCAGATACAAAATGAACCGGGAATGATTGTCTTTCATCGCTTTAAATTCAAACATTTCCTTATAATAGGTTCTGAACGAAGACGGAACAGTCAGCCACTTTCTCGACGCTAAAGACGAAAATCCACGCAATTGGATGGGCTTTGTTAACTGTGCCAGAAACGAACAAGAGCAGAACTTGGACGTGTTCCAGTACGGAGGTAACATTTACTACCGCGCTGTCAAGGACATCCCGCCCGATCAGGAGCTGCTAGTTTGGTACGGTGGCACGTACGTGCAGTTTCTCGGGATACCGGGAATTGCACCGGTGAACGACTTTACCCGGAGAAAGCGAAGAGGACCCGAAGAAGAAGACGAAGAACCTGAGCCCACTATTCCCGGTTAGTATTGCAGCAAGTACGTTTGATGATATCAAGTTAAACTAAGCACTTACTTCTTGAAACTAATGTTGTCCGTTAGATGTAGGTTGCCTCTTGGATCTGAAAATGTTTCCACTCCTCGGCAAGTTATTATCAAAGCGAAAGCGCAGAAATGAAAGACACGAGTTTGTACTGGCGCTGCAATACACATGGTACAGTGCAAATTAACCAACTGTCTCCTTCGCTTCGTACAAGCAAGTAGAGCTGTCCTTTTAAACAACAGGCTACATAGTTAAAAAAAAGAAAACGCTAACAACACGACTGAGGATCCGCAACAAGGATCAGAACATGAAACACGCACAAAGCGTTTGGCTAAAAAATAGATTAGAAAGCTAGAACTACTATTTAAACCTTCGATATCTACAAATGAATGACAAACACCGGGTTGAAAGCTTCATGCTTGCTTTAGAATCATATTTGTTTCTGCTTTTTCGAAATTACAAGGTAAAATGTCATACAACAATCTGAATAAGTATAACGAGCGCCCTGACATATCGCAGACTTGTTTTTGTATGCAAAATTACTTCGAAAGACTTTCGAAATTATTTTTATCACACACACGAGTCGTTGCGTTCTCTGAAAATGTGTTCTCGACAGCGAAAGAAAAATATTCATATTCTTAGTATCAGTGCATTTGTTAAATTTACAAGCTAACTTAACTCAATACAGGAACTGCAAAAACAAATCTTTTTATTTCCAGTTGTTTCAATAGTTCTAAGAGTAAATGCATGCATCGAATAGACGGGTTTTGATTATTAAAAATGAAATGCGTTGCCACTGAAACACATTGTCAGATATAGTTTGAATATTTGAGAAATACAATAACATATTCTTGCCCATTCTGTATTGATGTTTATATGAACAGGCAAAAGCCTTGCTGCGCCATCGAATTTGTTATTTTTTTCACCGGAACTAAATTCAATTCTTCATTTTTTTGATGCAGGTTTATCATAGCCATTAGTATGCCGCTTTTATTAAAATGTTTCTTCTGAGTGTTGTGTGGCCGTATTACTAACAACCAAATAATCTTATGACAGCCAGAGGGCAAAATATATCCGCTCATGAGTGCCGCAACGACTGGACTTTCGCTTTACAAACTAGAAAACTCGGCGACTAAAACAAACCGCGCTCGAATTTAACTGCTTTCTTTTATAATTATCAAAGGGGGTAAGTCTTGACAAATTTGCATTTTCAAAAGCATGGATCCGGAGTTAATCAAACCAATAAATATTAAAACTTGGCGGGGCGACTTGGCGTTAAAGCTTGGACTGGTGTGAAGCATTCAACCTTTCTTAAGACAGATATTATCATTTACAAATTACGAAGTAAGGTCGTTGGCGCCCAGTGTTTTTCATAATGAAGCTATCTGTGGGGTGCAGCAACTTCGAGCACGCGCAATTAGGAAACCGACGAAGCAGAAGTACAGAGAACAATGCTAAAACTTGTTTAAGTCTGCTGAAGATATCTGAAAGTATGAAACTATTTCTTGAAAGCGTTAGTGCGCTTTTTAATTCGACTGTTTATGTGCAAATCTCGATTTCCCGCGTACGTTGAATTGCGTTAGATGGCTTTCTAGCCACAAAACTGATTACTCGCACAGATAAATACAGTAATTATTAGGTAGTTAAGCCTCGAGCTAACATCATCTCCCTGATGTTCTCTGATGTACATCTAATGGAAATTTGCAAATTATAGCTTTCTTTTTTTCATTCCGCGATTGTTTACTACACCCACTTGTGCCCTTGCAACGACGCAGGATCTTGGTTCCGGAAACAAAACTTTGAAACTTCTAGCTTGTAAACACTGATAGGAAAAATTTTGGTTTGTTATTGTCTTCAATTTCCCGGAAAACTAATTTTAAAAGTGGTTAGAAAGAAAGAGAATGATCCATCCAGAGTGTGGAGTGTCATTACAGAAATATGAATTTCCCCGATAGCCAAAGTAAATTTACTCATGAGGTTTATTTTGAAGAGAATCGAAAATGGATTGTGTTACTGGTGATGCTGAAAACAGTACACTATGAGTTAGGACAGCTGGATTTCGATTAATTTAGTAGGCTTTCAAGAAAAATCAATTAGGACGCTGGGGTATAAAATTAATAATGGATTAACTATAATGATTTGTAAACGGTTCAAATTCGGCATGTTTAAAAGTGTTCAATTAAAGGGAAGTTTATTTAAACGAAGTGGTTTAATAAAAAGGGCTTTAGCAAACAGAAAGGAGGAGCATATTTGGTATTAAAAACGATCTTTCGCCTGGTCGTCGCCGAACCTTGTGAATTTTGGGACAAGATTTCTTTCTTCTCAAATTCACCCTCATTTAACAATTGCAAAAGATCTCAAAACACATAAACAATTTATCAGGTTAAGGGAAGGGTGAAACAGCGAACCGAAAAACACTGTCAAGCATTGTTAATTACGTTTCACTCGACTGGTCTACGTTTTCTTTTTCTTTTCTTGTCTCTGGCGCTAATGAAAGAGCCTGAACAGGTGATTTTTGTTATATCTGTAAATCGGCTCCTTTGTGTTCTGATAACATCACACTAGTTTTGTTGAAATTCTATCTTGCTTGAATGGCTTACTACTCGAAAAAGTGAACGTGATGGAATAAGCATTGTTAAGCCAGTATTTTCATTTTCAGTCCTTACACCTTACGTTTCTTTTTTTTAAATCGTGCGACTGTGCATTCATTTCGTTTTTCGCAAGCACTGTAACAAATCAAACAAAATGCGTCAAGATTTTGTAAATCGGGATCTTCTTAATTTCTCGGCGTGTTTTTCTGTTTAATTTGGTTTTAATTTAGTAGTACTTTTTCGAAAACCTTTACTGGGTCCAACAATAGTACAATGCTTTGGCAACTTTTACTTATTTCATTTAACTCAAGATTTAGCGACTCTCACTTAAAAGAGTGTCTTCTAATTATTTTTTTTGCTGTATGTGCTTTCTAATTACATCAGCATTTCTTGAATTTCGGAATAAATGCGGTAGGTTGGAGCCACAGTTAATTAGGAGTTTTAAATTGGTTTTATTGAGTTCGTCACCTGGTTTTTGAAGACAGCTTTTTTTTCTTTTTATTTTCTGCTCGCGTAATTGTAAAGAAGCGTTTGTCATGAAAGCACGTATCACATATCATGAATCAACAATGTCATTTCTTTCTCGGTGAGGCTTTTGCGTTAATCAAAACTCATTCACTTGGCCCCCCAGGTCATATGATAAATGTAAGTTTACTTGCTGTAATACCCTTTTCGGCTGCAAGTAAAAAACTAACCACGCCCAGCATTAACGACGAAGAAACTTTTCGCTTCGGGGCGATAGCAAGTCTGTCACCAAAACATTGTATACTAACAGCCAATGCTTGAAGCTGAGAAAACACAATGGCCAAGAATTGAAGGTGCGATGCCAAAAACGTGACAATTTTCATGTTTTTCAGTCCAAAAAGGAGTGAAATCAGTGAGCGCATTTACACATACTCAGTTTTAATATAAAGTCAATTAAGAAAACTACTCTTGAGTGCGGTTATAGCGCAAGCTGAGTCGCTGACATGATTTTGTTTCTCTTGCTTGAGTTTGCTCTGCCTGTTTGAGAAATGTATAGCAAGTTTTTTTTTCTCATTTCCTGTTGAACATTTTTGGGATGCACTCTATTCTGATCTGAACTCCTTACGACAATAAACACGTGCCAACCATCTTCTGCCTTCTCACTCTGCAGGGTTGTTTTCATATGGAGTAGGGTTACATTACTTAGCTAATGCTGCAGATGGCGGGTTCTTTATTACATTGAACGAGGCTAACAACATGTTAAAAACATCCAATGTAACAGGATTCCGACCTCGCGCAGTCGTCTTATTAAAAGCTTTCATTTACCCTCCGCAGCTCCTACCAAGTATTGATTTGTTTAACCAGCCGAAAAGCCTAGTATCTAGCTGCGATTTTTCTAATTTGAATGCTCTATAATCATTTCTTTTCTTACTCATGAGGAAGGTTTAAATTGGGAGGGAGCATTTCGCCTTCTCAAAACACAAATCGTACATAAATCTTCATTGGAAGTGGTAGATATAATAAAACATTTTGGAGTCTTTATAACACTCTAAATTTCACTTATGTTTAACCAAAACTACGCCCGAAGAAACGACAATTTAATGGTTGTTAAAAAATAATTGGGACATATTTTCGGTATTCACAAGTAAGAACCTCATAATAAGTTTAGTAAGTTTTGTCCAAAGAATCTTTCTAAGTAAAGGCTCGAAGTTCATGTGCCTTAATTATCTTCCAAAATTTCAAATGACGTATTTATGATTATGAAGAATTATTGTTTTGGTTTTACTATATGAAAAAAGGTTTTGTTTCTCGTTTTGATTTCAAGCTGTTCGTGAAGCACTTCGTATAATTTACAGCGCAGCGTGATATGTTTATCTTGGAATTGAACCACCTCAACCACTTTCCACATTTCCTACAAGCTATTGTAAACTTCCAAACAGGAAATCGCACCCAACTGGGCGTTAAATTGCAGGAGATCTCTTTTGAATATTGATTTTAGAAAAATAGATCTTTGTTTGCAGTTGAGGGAATTATGGACTGACAGGTCTTTTTTCTTTCTTTTTTTTTTGTCAGAAGATCCTATTTACAAATTCAGCCACGAGCGAGTCAAAAGCAATGTTGTACCAGGAAGACTCAAGTGCACGCTTTGCAGACGAGGATTTAACTCCAGGAGCAACTTACGCTCGCACATGCGCATTCACACGTTGGAAAAACCTTTCCAGTGCAAATACTGCAAGAAGTCCTTTTCGCAGTCTTCAACGCTTCGGAACCACACCAGACTTCACACCGGAGAGAAGCCTTACAAGTGCAATGTATGTCACTTCGCGTACTCGCAGCTTGCAGGACTGCGCGCTCATCAGAAGTCCGCTCGACATCGACCATTACATGAAGCTGCTAAAGCAGCGGCTCAAAAATCGAAAGGTCTTCACGACGAGACAAATCACAGCGAGCGTTCCCCAGACTCCCCTAAACTAGAAAGCACGCCTCAATAGCTGACAGTTTTTTGGAATTGACTTCTTAATTACGAAGAAACTGGAGAAAGGCGCCAGATTTTGATTAAGTGGTATTCCTCCAACATATGAAAGTAAACACACTCAGCCCCGATCGCCAATAGTAAATAGAATAGCGTCCGGAAAGCTAAGGCTTGAAGACAATCTCTAAGAATAAAAAAAATCTCATTTTCAATAATAATGAAAATATAGTTATAAGAACAACTTTAAACGAACTTTAAATATAGATTATATTTGATACTAGAAGATGGGTATAGAAAAGTTCATTTTAAAAACTTGGTCTACTTTAAGCTGCCGCTGTGAAATGTTAATTTTTCTGTGTAGCTGGTAGGCCGACAGATCAGCGATGAAGACAAATCAATGAAAAAATGATAATCAGAAAGTACTTCTGCACCTTTCAGTTGTATATTGTGTAAATATTTTGTAAAAAATTTTGCTAGAAAGCTTTAATGAACGTTGTATAAAAGTGTTAGCAGTACGCTTACATTTAAGCCGTCAATATGATTGACATGACTGCCAGTTTAAGATATATGGATCGGTTCTCGTTTACTCAAGTACCGTTTTATAGGAAATAAACAGACATTCACAGGGAGTGTAGCTGTCGTGTTTATAGTTCGCCTTCTAAAAGCCTCACCTGCGACACAACTGCACTGAGTTGTTTGGTCATGTAATTTCTTCCATGGTCAAGTGAGGACATGATGTTATGTCGCAATGTTCGACTCTTGAAGTAAACACGAAAATGGAAAGAAGCATTCACTTCAAGAACTTAATAAATGGCGTATAAAGAAACACCTTACTCCTTCCATCAAACCTCAATTTTCTACTTAACTAGGATGGCATTCTCTTTGTTTTAACTCAAGGTCGTAAGCCATTTGTTCCTGAGAGGAAAAAACACGAGTAATGAAATCTTATCATATTGGCTTCTAAAGTTGGGCAATGGCAAAGTATTTACTGAAGTTACGGCACTTTTCGACGTCGCACGTTTTTGGCTGGGTCTAAAGACTAAAGCTATAAACTTTAGCATCTAATCGCCGTTCATTACTGAGGCTAAGGACGAGGCACTTCGCAAAAGAAAACGTCCTTTAAAGCTTAGGCGTCAGTTTCACGATTTTGAATTATATTCAGTAAACCTTCAACATTTGCTTGCTAAAGAGAAAGCGTTTCAATTGCCTTTAATTTACTTGACCAAGCTATGTTTTAAGACACCAACAATTAATTGATTTTCTAATTTAAATCGGCCTCCTTTGATGATGACTTTGCCATATTCTATGAAGATCTCCAAAAATATTTGGCCGTTCTAAGGTTTATTCCAAAAAGATACGTGGACTTAAGTTTTCTTCAGAACATTTCGCTTTGTAAATGATCGTTTATTTGTCAATTTGTCGAATAAAAAACAATATGGTCACCTTTGTTTTAAAACGTCCATGATAGTTATCAACGTTTCGATCTCATCAAACTTTGTCCCTAAGTGATCGTCAAAGATGCACAAGTAATGTAACAGATTAACCCAAGCAGAGATTAGTGGAGATGAGCAAAACATTTTTAAGCCGGATCTGAGGGCTCAGATACGATCAGCATGATTAATTGTGACCGCTCTTACTTAAGTTCGAAATATTATCAAAACTAAAGAACTGCCATCGGGAGGTTTTGTGGCCTACAGTCCAACCTGACCTTACCAGATTATCTCAAAAGTTCAGCTTTCAATAGACCATCAAAAAAGTATGTGTAGTT